TCACTGGGCAGTCGGTGTGAAGCTGTGATTGAGGCTGCTGTGGGGGGTGCAGTTTCTCACATTCTGTAGAGGACACACATACACACACAGAGAAACACTCAAGAGTGTGTGTTAGGCAGACAGCTGAGGGATTCACTCGCTCGCTGGAGTTGCGCTCACAGAAGATGGATCTCTTGAGGACTTGCTTGTGTTGGGTCTGTGTGCTGGTCATTGGACTTCTGGGACTTGTGGAGGAGAACTTGGGTGAGTGTCAACCTTCAGAACATTTACTGACTGCAGTTCTGTGTGTGTCTAATGCAGGACCTGTAATGCAGCTGGTCTCTGCTCTACGGATCGCCGCACACATTCACATTCACTCAGATGTTGCTGTTGTATAGCTCAGGATATTTTAATTGACTTCTCAGTTAAGTTTCATCTAAGTGTCAAGGTGTTTCTTCTAAAATGTCTTTATCAATAGTTGACATACAGTTAGTATGTCAACTATAAAATGAATATGGAAAGCAGATAAATTGGGTGCATTTGATGAGAAATGCTTGAGTTTATATTGAGATCTCTGAATGTTGATGGCAGACTGTGGTGTCTTGGTATGATTGAGCACATTATTAAGATATATTTTGGGACTTCATTGGAGACAGGTGAAATTACTGGGGTCTTTTTTATTTACTTCATTGAAAGTCTTTATTTGCTCTCCATTTAGTCTCATTGGTATCTGGAGGCAAGCAAATATGCTAGATTGGGGAGAACAAATGTAAAAGTTTATGAATCAGTCATTGACATCTATGATAGTTACAGCCCCGTCTAGGAGAAACAAGTTTTTATCCTCACTAACTTCACTTTTCTTCATTTTTGCTAAATGTCTCAAAGTTTCAAACCTAACAAACTACTTTTCATTAAATGTTTTTGTTTAAAGTGGGATTGAGATATATGTATTTAGTGATAAAGGTAAATTAAATATGATATTATGAATAATTAAATTTAATATATTAATAATGTAGTCTGATATAATGTAAATATTCAATAAAATATAATATTTGTCTAAATAATATTTGTTTATTTTCTATTTTTATATTAGTATTCATAATGTAATTAAATTAAAACATTAAAGAAGAATATATATTATTTACAATAATATCTTTTATTAAATTATATTTTCATATCTATTTTTTTATTTGATGATCAATTATAATTATTATTAGTTAAACATAAATATGTATAATTTAATGATATTTATCTGATGCAATCTCATTTATAAGAGTGATTTAATTGTCCAAATTCTCCTTGGGGCCACTGTATTTTAGTATAATTACAACTTATTAAATCTGTATTTCTTTGTTAGTATGCACAGTATTATGTGCTTTATGGTGTTCTGTATGTTGGACTTTTCCATCAGGCTTTTACAAACCTCATGTTCGGTGGTAGTGATGGTGTGGCACATGGTCAGCCAGGGGTTGCTGTGTGTGTTTCTTGTTTGGTAGTGTGCTATCAGCCTCTCAGCTGCCTAACACTTGTTTTACACACAGTTGGAGGTCTGGCTTTGAAATCACTCAGTGTTTAATCTATACAACAGACTTTCTTTCTCACACACTTGTTTGACTTTGTGTTTTCTAGCCAGACTTTGTTTTTTTGTTTTTCCTTCCGGAAATGGGTTTTAATTGCATATTGAAGGAATCTAATTTTGTATTTGCTGTAATAAATGTTATTTTGCTGTTAGTCCTTTGTAGTATAAACCAAATATGTGACCCTGGACCACAAAACCAATTTTCTCAAATTGAGATTTATACACCATCTAATTTCCATTGATGTATGGTTTGTTAGGATAGGACAACATTTGGCCGCGATACAACTATTTGAAAATCTGGAATCTGAGGGTGCAAAAAAATCAAAATATTGAGAAAATCGCCTTTAAAGTTGTCCAAATGAAGTTCTTAGCGATGCATATTACTAATCAAAAATTAAGTTTTGATATATTTACAGTAGGTAATTTACAAAATATCTTTATGCAACATGATCTTTACTTAATGTCATAATGATTTTTGGCATCAAATAAAAATCTTTAATTTTGACCCATACAATGTATTTTTGGCTATTGCTACAAATATACCCCAGTGACTTAAGACTGGTTTTGTGGTCCAGGGTCACATATGGCCACCTGTACAGAAGCATCAATAAGTATTTGGAAACTGTCTGAATGTCACTGCATTAGACGCACTCGAATGCCGCAGGATATTTTCTTTTCACTAACTTCACTTTGCTCAATGTCTTCTACTTTTTAGTGGATTTATGAAGTTCACACAGTTGTCCTTTTTATTTTAGTATATCTTTTGTTCAACAATTTCAAACTTAAAGGAACATGCACTATTTTTGAAAATAGGCTCATTTTCCAACTCCCCTAGAGTTAAACAGTTGAGTTTTACCGTTTTTGAATATTAAATTAGAATAAAAATATGAAATATAAATAATGCAATCAATAATATAATATAGTATTTAATAAAATATAATATTTGTTTAAATAATATTTATATGTAATGATATATATATATATATATATAATTTCATAAAATACTATATAAAATTATATATTAATATTATTTAATTAAATTATTTGTATATTTTAATTTGATTATTAAATTATATAATGTTATATAATAATATTATATTATTATATAATGTTATATAATAATATTTATCTAATGCAATGTCATTTACCCATTTGTAAGTGTGATTTAAGTGTTCAAATTCTCCTTGCGACCACTGTATTTCATTAAAATGATAATTTATTAAATCTATACAATTGATTAAATCTAAGCTAGTAAAGAAATTGATGTTCTTATCCTTTTTGTGTTAACTTGTGTACATTCATTTTCACTTCTTGCTGTCTCTCGCCTCCTGAGCGATAAAGAGAGAGTGAACGTTCCATCATCAGCCATTTCCATCATTGCCCATCCCAAAATAACCTTCAGACACAGTCCAGATCTTTCTCCCAACACCCAGACGCACAATGAACTCATCCGTTGTCCACCGAGCGCAGCGGTGCCTGCGGTGCCTCTGTCAGAGTTTATTTACAGTCCACAGCATCTCAGCCTCTCCATCACTCTCACTGCCGCCACGCTAACTCACGCATGCCGACTCTGGGTGTCTGTCTATGCCGAGTACTTCCTGCTGACAAGGCCAGCATATATGTTTGTGTGTTTGGATGTGGGTCTGCCGCTTCTGGAATATATAAACTAGCAGGGCTGCACGATTAATAGAAATCAAACCAAAATAACAGAATGGCTAAGCGCAGCACTGCTCTTTTACACGTGAACAGCTCATGATCCAGTGTTTTCAGTGTCTCGGAGCGGCTCAGTTCACCGTAAATGCTGCTCCACAAATGTGCTGTGAGTTTGGGTCTTTAATGTGCATTTGCAAACATAAACCATCTTCCCAAACTTGTAATGAGAAGCGCTTATAAAGAGACGCTTATAAACAAAAGAGAAGCTTTAAGGGCTCCCTGCAGTTTTCTGCCAGAATAAAAACTTGATGGTTTAGACAGCAATAAATATTTTTTTTCATTTTTCAGTTGTGCTGTAAAGTAAAATGATTATGATTATTATTATGATTATTAAATATTATTAGTAATTATGACTACCTCTTCTACTACTACTACTACTACTAATAACTATTTTTATTTTACTTATATTTTATTACTATTATACATTATTTTACAAAGATTTATTTTTAATTTAGTAATAATAATAATAATAATGATAAATACTCATATTCTATTACTATTATACTTTATTTTACAGAGAAATATTACAACAGCAATATATTTGTATTTTTTAATTTAATAATAATAATAATTATTATAATAATATTACTTTTATCTAGTAGTAGTAGTGGTTTTGTGATTAATATTAATATACTCATATTGATACATAATCCCAACAGTTTTGGCCTAATTTTATGTATAGACCTACAAACAAGCATAGCAAACCTGGTGCTTTTTTAAATTGCAAAATAAATTTTTATCAGAAAAATCACAATTTGATATAAATGATAAATTAGCCTTTAGTTGTTTTTGCATGGTTTCTAGCTTTTGTCATTTGTGCTCATTGGTTGGTCCAGATTGGTCTAGATCAGTGGTTCTCAACCTTTTTTACTCAAAGGCCCCCCTCCTCTCCGAATCAATACTGCAAGGCCCCCCAACATTTTCTATTCACAAAAACATATGTATTCCTAATATGTTACATAAAAAGAAATTATCCAAAGGATTTTCAGAAGGCATTACTGGAAAGTCTGATACAAGTGACTTAACATAATCTCTTCTTTGCAAAACTCTAAAGAAATCTGACTTAGTAAGACCAAAACGTAATGTTAACTGTTCAAAAGAAGCAAATATATTATCAATAAATAAATCCTTGAAACATTTTATCCCCTTGTCGGACCAACTCTTAAATGATCCGTCCTGCATTGAAGGCAAAAAAAAATTGATTATGGGCAACATGGCTAAGGAGAGAAGGATCCTAAAAACCAAATGATTTCCTGAATTGGGTCCAAATCTTCAACGAGTGTTTCACCACTGGGCAATCAACCGGAGTGTAAGAGATTAATTGTAATTTAGTTGCAAGAAGTGCTGGAAGGGAAATTTGCTTGTGAGCATTTATTTCCATGTCCACCCAAGATGGTCTATTGGGAAAAAGGTGATAATGCCACCAATACAGTAAATTTCGTATGTTAGCTGCCCAGTAGTAAAACTTAAAGTTTGGTAAGGACATACCGCCATTGCATCTAGACCTCTGAAGGTATGCTTTACGCAGGCGGGGGTGCTTACCATTCCAAATAAATGTAGAAATAACAGAGTCCAAAGATTTAAAAAAGGAAAGGGGAATAAATAAAGGTAACCATTGAAAAAGATAAAGAAATTTAGGGAGCACCACCATCTTAACGGAATTAATGCGCCCAATGTAAATTAAATTATTTATGGAGCAGATAAAATACATATAATCATTTAGGCTATTAATCAGTTATCATTTTGACTTATAGCTTTTCTTTATTTAAAGGCTGAAATGTGAGGTTTACCTTTTTATGAAACTTTTTCAAAGCTTTATTTGAACATTTACATATATTTCAACATGTTATTAAACTGTTGTCAGTCAAGTTGTCATTTAAAATCCGAACATCATTGGTAATGTTATTGTTTTAGTGATTATGCAAACAAAAAGTCATTTTATTTGTTGTTTGTTGATTTTTAAATATAAAAC